CAGACAGGCAGGCAGGCAGGCAGCTGAAAAAAACCCCCTCTGGGGTCCTTGGGTCCTTCCTGGGTCTGTTGTCGCGCAGGCCGGGAGCTCCCGCGCAGGCCGGGAGCTCGCGCGCACGCCGCCAGGTGATCGCAGACAGGCAGGCAGGCAGGCAGCTGAAAAAAAACCATCTTTTGTCTTAAGAGCAAAACAAATAATCCAGACGCCAAAGATTCGCCACCACTGAGCATAAGGAATGACATGAGTCTAACCCTTTCTTCATATTGTTTTCATATTTGTAACTGTTTTATATAGTAGCTTTTATACCTTTCAGAAAAATGAAGCATATTTGTACAAATTGAAACCTCCAGTAGAATATAAAAAGTCGTATGAAATTGTTAATCGTGACCATCTGAATATAGGTAGTACTCTGGTAGAAAACAATTTTTAAATACTCTGTGCTACATAATTGCTTTTTATGACAGCTATTTAAGAAAACACTTTAACCCAATAAAAGTTGTTGACTGGGCACAGTGGCTAATGCCTGTAATCCCAGATAGAGGGGAAGCTGAGGCAGGAGGATGTCAGTCTAGAAAATAGCTTTTGTCGTAAAATGGAAATGTAGGTGGGAGCTTAGCTCAGGGATAGAATGGTTATCTAGCATTGGCTTTGGGCTCAATCCAAAGTACAAAAAAGAAAGGAGAGAAAAGAAAAGAGGAGGGGAAGGGAGGAGAGGGAAGGAAAACATTGGTGTTATTTCAAATCATAGGGTTTGTTTGCTTATTTATAAGGCTATACATAAAAAAAGTGTTTCGGAATTTGTTCATGGCTAATTGAAACAAAAGGGAAGAATGTTCTTAACCACACCTTTAAACACATTTTCATTTTTAAACTTTTACAAAATATGCTTATTAATAGTGGCAAATGTAGCACAAAACAAATGTTACCTGAGCTCAACAGGATTTTCTGTGCCTTTGATACACCATATATGTATTTTTGTGTTTGTTTGTGTCTGAATATTTACTAACATTTCTGTTTCTTCCATAGGGGGTCGGAATGAAGTTGTCATTACTGAAAACAATAACAGCATAACTGAGCAAATCACTGACGTTGTCAAGCAGCCAGCCTTTATAGCTGGTATTGGTGGTGCCTGCTGGGTAATTTTGATGGGTTTTAGCATCTGGTTGTATTGGCGAAGAAAGAAGAGAAAGGGACTCAGTAATTATGCTGGTAAGATATTATTTCTAGAAAATTTCCAGAAAATCTTTTGGAATGTAAGAAAATGAAAAGAGGAAATGTATTGGAATAATTAATGATTTGGGCTTATTTTAAAGACCTACTCTGTAAAATGCAGTTATAAACAGCATGCTTTCATGCATTCATCCTGATCATTTCGCTTAGTGACTATAGGACTTTTTTGCTTGTATCTCCAGTGAAAAAGCATGAATACAACCCGCTAAGATACTCAGCTGTTTTGTTCAACTATTTCTTCAAAACCACACACACACACACACACACACACACACACACACACACACAGCTCCACACCTCCAAGCACAGGCGCATCCATAGACACTTTGCACACTATGAAGCAATTATTTTAGATGTGTATTTGGGCAAGAACATTACTAACATGCTCAGAAAAAAAGAGATCTGAAATATATTTTTTACTATGTCACAGTGTAGATTATAAGAGGGAATGTCCCAAATGGAAAACACAGACAAGTGAAATTTATTAGAATTAATAAAACTGACAAGGTTTGGATTAAGGGATTTAAAACTCACTTATTTGATAAAGTTTAGCGTGAACACATGGCATTTTGGAAGTAAGAAATAGAAATGTGAAGCAAACAGAGAAGAAAAATAAGCAGAAGCAGAAAAGAAAGAAAGAACAGGGGAAGTAAGGAATGAAGATAGGAAGGAATTAAGGGAGGGAGGGAAGAAGGAAGGAAATCTGAGGTGGTCTGCATGTTTGCAGTTATTTTCTTAAAATCCAAGATGGAGTTGCAAGGAAGTGAGCAATGTGTGTAATCTTATGAAGATGAAATTTGTTATTTACTGTTTAGCATGAATTTCTGAGACTACAGAAAGTACAATAGCATCTCCATGGACAAAAGCCTTTGTGCTTGGTGCAATGCTATAATTCTGCTCTCACTTCTCCGTGGTTGTTGGATCCCTGCTTCCTTATATTTTATATTTCCTTATATTTTTCACCTACATCATTTTACCAATTAGATATTCTTTCCCAAAAGTAGTGCTCAGCAATAACTGCTCTGTGTCAGAATCTTGAACATTCGAAATACTTCACTGTACCTTCTTATTTTACACCCCATTCCTCTTCCTTGGCAGTATTGTCCATCAATCCATCTGCTTCTTCAGTCTCTATGTTAGATTTCATCTCCTTGACACACTTGAATAATTCATATTAAATGTAAGGAACATCTGATTTAATTCAAGAACTATTTTGTATTTATCCACTCACTTGACTTTAGCAATAATAATAAAAACTATATTCTTCAAGCCACTATAGGTCAAAGCTGTAACATACTCCAATCTGAAATGATGCATTTTTAGCCTCCTTATTTCTATATTCCCTCACTTTTCACAATAAAATATCTTTTATAGTTGGTAGGTTTGCAATTTAGGAGGATTTATGTTAGACAGACATTTTTTTCAGCTTTAATTGAGTTTATTGCTACATTTTAGGAATACCGTACAGTTACATTCATTGTTTGGATGTTGTACCTGTACATGACAAGTCTTGGTTCTCATTTTTTCCCCTTATCCCAGCCCTCCCTTCACCCCCTCTAGGCAGATTTTTTTATTCTCTTTTTCATAGCGGCTCTTTGCAAAACATGTGTACTTAATTTGAAAATATCTGTTGGTCTTTGAGTTTGACAAGAATAGTACATTTTTCATTATCATTTTTCATTGTGATTGATATCCATGTGCTGAGAAGAATTGCTAACTCAGAATGTGTTATGTCCTTCAAATATTTTGGAAGAAGGCCAAGCCAGAGAGAAACCTTTCAAAACTTTTTCTTAATTGATAGATGGCTAATTCAAAATGGATTTCTTTTCAGATAGTTATTCACATTTTAGCAACTGCTCTTCTTTTCTTATAGATGAAAAGCAAATAAAAATTTGCTCTACCATGAGTACCTAGCAGTACATGTTTCGCTTGTGATGATTTTTACAAAATTTTCTCCAAAATTAACCCACCCTCCACCCTATTCAAATAAGATATTCTTTTCCTTCTACAACACTGAGAACATGATATTTTGCATGGAAAATTTTATTTTCCAATGGATTAGTGGAATATGTATTTATCATAGGTATATACTTCTTATATTTCAAAAATAAACCAATAATCCATTTAAAAATGACAGTGATTTCATACAGAATTATTCTTCTCTGAAGTGTTTTATAAAAATCACAGAGAAAATATTCTATTTGTCCTGATCCTGATCCTGTCTATATTTTGGTTTTCATCAAAATTTTGCTGGTGGTTTACAAGCTAAACTCAATAAATTAAAGCAATGTGATTTCATTCATAAGATGAAAAGCCTAGTTTAGATTTTTCGTGACATGACAATGCATATAAAGTCTCAAATATACATTTGCATAGTTTCTAATTGTTGATGCATGTCATAATTGTTTTATAATAGTCAATTTTGGAATCAGTATTCAAATTAATTTCTAGCTATCGATACTTCATTTATTTCAAGCTCAAATTGTCTGATAGTTAAACATTTGATGCAATTGTATATTGGCAGACATAAACTGCTAGTAAAGGTAGACTGAACATAAGCAAGGTTATACGGAAAGCCATCACTGAGTTTCATGCTCCCTTTTTCCTATCACTTTTGTCCAAGTTCTTTCTTAGCCTCTAGAGATAAGGTAGGAAAGAAGCTATCTAGTGGGAGGCTGGGAATACCTTGTAGTGTGAGAAACTACCTTTGGACAGGTTACTTTCCACTCACCTATGTACACAAAACATATTTCATTAATTTTTATGATTTCTTATGTTTCATTTGCTGTTGTTATAGAAGTTTATATTGAAAAAAGAAAGAAAAAGACTACTAAACTGTCCTTTTTATGTCAGAGTTTCACATAAACCTTAGGTTGTATAAACAAATATCAAAAATGTAATATAAATTTGTACATTTAAATTATATGGGAGAATAACTTGACCTAAATGTGTTTTGCTTCTTCACACAGAATAAAGTAGGGACTTCTGTGAGATAGTGTTATCCATATACTTCCAATTTTTCAAATTTATCCTTTATTTAAATTGTTCAGATACAAATACACATCATAGATTTACCCATGTCACTAAGAGGGCTGCTGGAACAAAGTATCACAAAAATGATGTGGAGTAATTCTACGCTTTTACAAACAAATCAGCCATGTTATTTATCTTTTTATTGAGTACTAACAACCTCTGGATCACTGTATTCAGGGTTCTTGAATGACGGGAGACTTCACATTCTCTGTTTATTAAGGTAACAGAATCACAGAAAATTGGGGGCAAGTACAGCAAATTAAGTGATTTCAAATTCAAAGAAAATGTTTTACTATATTTGTAATATTTTTTGTTTGTAGGTAAGTGAATAACAAGGTTGAAAAACATCTCTGTAGCTTTCCTGAGGATTTTAAATAAACATATTAAAATCCTTATGAAAAATATACAGCTCCTTTAAAGATATTCTATCCATTTGTCTATTTACAATTATTGAAGTCATCAAATTGTAATAAAGGGGTAATATGCAGTTTATGAATATAATATCTGAGAAAACATTTTATGAAATTTGTAACTACAAACAATTTAACATCAGTGAGCAAAATATAATGTGCTAAATGCTTCACACTATTTAGAAAGTCTTAAAACTCTTGCTGAAATACAAATTATTTGACAAAACTATCCAAAAGCTGCTAAAAGTTTTGATGGAATTTTTATACTCTAATTATCCAGGTTTAGTTAATGCTTATTAAAAGATTAATTTATATTCATTTTTCAGAAATAGATTATCAGGACAGGGAAGGAGTTTTGGCTGCAGCATAAAGTGTACATTTGGAATAAGAAAATGTGACTATGACAGACAAGCATTCTGAGATACTCCTTTTGTAAAAATGTCAATTTACTGCATAGTTATATTTTCCTCCTCTTTTCCTCTAGTTCTAGCATGCATAAGATTACGATGAATCTTCTCAGGTAATAGGAGAGGTTCTCTCTCTCTCTCTCTCTCTCTCTCGACACAAACTTGACACAAATTTACAAAATCTCTTAAACATATTCATCATAAAAATTGCAACAAATTCAAAATATTTTATACCTATCTAAAACATTTTAGATTGTAGTATCTGTAGAACTTTCTGGAAAGTCTTTGTCTGGTCTCTTAAAAGTTCCAATATGATGTTCTCTCAAAGGCCTTGATTTGAGAGGCTAGCAGACACTTCAGATTAAGCATCATAATTATTTTCTCTCTCTTAAGCACAGTGTTACTGCACTATGATTATAAAAATTTTGACAAGAGGAAATTGTCCTCACACCCTCACTCCTGATTTTTTTCTACTTCGTGGTAAATATTTATTCGAATTGAGAACTACTTCAAAAATGCTTTCAGCTTCTTGTTCATTTTTTTATGTTCTCTCTACACATATGCACGCACAGAATGCTGATCAAAACATTGCTTATAATTTCCATTTTCTGAGTTCTAACAGTTCATCCTTATTTGTAGTCCAATTTTAATTTCTTTGTCTAATACAACTAAGTTAGTTTTGGTATACTTTTCAAAATGGAATGAGTTTACAAATTTTGGATCAAAAGGTAAAAATAATACTGAAAATATGTTCTCTTTTCCATCTTTCTTTAAAAACACAACTCATCAACCTTATTATGATAAAGAGTGTGTATGTGGATCTTCCTCCTGCTCCACCTTCGAGGCTCTTTCTCCTCCTCCTCCTTCTCCCTCCTCATCTTCCTTCTCCTCTTTCACTTCCTCCTCCTCCTTTTTTTCTTTCTTCTTGTTTTTGATATAAATATGCCGAATGGAAGATTCTCATATATGCCAAATTGAGAAAGAGCTATTTTAGGTTAGTCAACTGTTTACGTAATGTCCTGTGATTTTTTTTTTTTTTTTACCTTTGTATAGTTGCTATGCAAAGATTAAAAAAAAGTCTTTTTGGAATGTCTGACAACATATTACATTCCAGAGCCACTGAGAAAACATATTTTAATGATGACTGGGACACAAACTGAAAGTGTGTATGCTCTGAATGCAAAACATGAAATGCATTAAAATTTAAATTCTTTTGATTACAAATTTTAGCGGTTGATTGACAAATACGGGCTATATCACAGGGCCCATACTCTGATGTACTTGCAAATTAACTTCAATGAGTGGCACCTTCTTTGATAAGGTTTTCTGCGTTACATCATAATACTTTAATCTTTACAGTTTTATGAAGAATCTGTTATTAGCAGCTAGAGTTAAGAACCACCTCATTTCTCTGTATCTCAGCTTCGGTTGTCTTCCTTTTCTGCACTATTATTTATTGCTCTGGCACTGAAGAAAATGTGTATTGAAAAAAAGGGGATCTAAATTAGGCAGAACTATTTAGTTTTTCTCATGTCTCTTAAAAAGCACATTTTGAGGGGTAGCCCAACAGAGCCCATTATTTGTGTATTCACAGTAGGATTCACAGCACTGTTTTAACTCTCTTTAACAGAGTGAATCACTTGATATTTCATTTAAAAAGCTCACATTAGAGAGCCACATCACATGGAAAGCTAATTAGCTGCACTAGGTTCACACTGTGTGTGTATGTGTGTAAGTGCAGATGCACACAAATGTGTCAAAATCAAGCCTTTACTTCATACTTCTGGTGTTTGTTTTTTTGGCATTAATTGTTTCAGATCAATTCATTTTTGTTAAAAGTAGTTGTTAGGTCCACTGCTGATTCCTGGTTTCCAGCCCTTAAGTGGGCAACTAGTGATTAGTGTTTTTTTTGTTTTTGTTTTTGTTTTTTGTTTTTTGTTTTTTATCTTGTTTGTAAAGCTGCCTATAGCCAATTCTGGACAAAAGAGAAAGTTGTCTCAGGATTGGTTTGCAGTGTCTTTGAGATGTTACTTGAAAAAATTGATAAGGCAATATATTTCAATGCCAACAAGTTATGTCTAGAAGCCCTGATGTATTCCAGTCTCATAAAACTCTGAGAGATCCTTGGAATTATGATCATGTTGCCTGATTATAATGTCATGAGAGATAATATTATTAGATGATCTTTAAGAAAGGACTGGAGAACTGCACTTAGAAATCTTTAAAAATATAGTGTGATCATAGGTAGTAGCTGAAACTTCCAAAAGAGAGTAGATTTATTCAAATTTAAAAGTATTCATTATGTACACATTATGAGTAGCAATACATCCCATTTATTTAAAGCATGAACTAATTCATAAAAGTTATTTTCACCTTAACTCAAAGCAAGCATACTAAATATAGTTAATGTTTTCTAAAGGATATATTGATTGTTGGTTTCATAGCTGTGAAAATGGTATTGTTTCCCCTTGGATCCATGTTTGGTTAGTGGATCTATGAGAATTTTGGTCAGAAATACAAGTTCATTTTTGTCGTTTTGTGAAATCCATAAACTTCTAACAAATTTTGTTTCCAAAATTTGTTAGTCAAGTAACTTAGCATCAAAATGCAATCCAAACTAAGTGAAACTGTTTGTAATTTATCACTATTCATGCTATTCACAATTCCTTGCAGAAATATGGTATAACTTTGAGTACAATTTGTTATCTCATACGCTCTTTGTAGTATATAAAGTATATTATGTTTCTCAGAGAAGAATCAACTTGAAATACAAACATGTTTGGCTACAGAGGTCTTGGATAGAGGATATCAATCTGTACTAATACTTACGTTCCTTGGCTAATCTTTGAAGCTCACTTTGTCAGGTTTTTGGTTTTATGAAGTGAGATCCATTGTGGGAAGGAGTGAATTCACTGACCCCAGTCCTTGTCGTGCTTGTTAGTGTTGCTAAGTTCCATCGTTTTATATAAAACTTGAGTTTCACGCTCTTTGTATACAATGGAGTCTCCTCACTATCAATTATTCAGTATTTTTATTTTCATGAGCATGTTGTTCTGTATTAATTATAATTCATTTCTGTCGTAATTATACCTATTCAAGTCATGGTTCTTATGAGTGTACCTAAAAGGACTTCTGATAGAAATATCCATTCAGTAAATATCTATCTCTTTTGTTTTATTCAAAGAATATTACCTGTTGGAACGAACCTGTTTCAATTTCTATTATGTGTATTTTGCCTTTTGCCTTCTAATTCCGACAATTTTGTATTAAAATAATTTTGATTTAATAATTCCACACTAATGCCATGTTGATCTTCTAGTAACACTATATATACCTCTCGCAATACTGTTTGACAACTAAATGCAAAATGTCACTTTAACTTAACTGTACATATGGCTTGAAGAAACTTGAAATATTCTATTAAAGTTGGGACAAGTGTTGGCTTTTCCCTGAGCTGAACTACTGCTTGTACAATCTGTACAGTTGCGTTAATTATATTTTGTTAAAATTCCCAGGGGCGTCAGCTCTAGACTGAAGTCCAATATGTAATTGTTATGAATCGTAATTAATATCAACTATGTGTTTGTGTTTGTGTATTTTCCTTTTTTCACAGTTACATTTCAAAGAGGAGATGGAGGACTCGTGAGCAATGGAAGGTATGCTAAAGAGATTCTTTTTTATTATTTTTTTAATCAGAGCTGAGGAAAGTCTGTAATAAGATGTTATTATTGTAATAAACAATCACTTACAAGTAAGAGAATTCTAGGAGGAATTAAATGGCTTACCACAAGGTTTAATGATCTATCTGTTGTGCACTTTAAAGGAATCAAGTCCAGATGTTTCATATCTCCCAGATGCCCCTGAAGAAATTAGTAGTAAATATCACAAGGAATGTGTTCATTTGTTAGCAGGATGTTTATTGCATTAATTAGACATTAGCAAATGAAGTTGCTGTTGTTTAAGACTCCTTATTGGCTCTCACTAAATTGCTGTGAGTGAACAATTACACATAATCGATCACAAAGTAAATGATTCATGGATGATGAATAGGCTGTAGATTGATAGGACTGGATTCCACAACTTTGGATACTCAATTGAAATTGATAAAAGCTGATAACAAACCCATACATCCTCATCCATTTTCCCTTTGCCAATATGGAGATTGTAATTAGGTTCTGGTAATAACTTCCAATCTCCCATTTAATCAATATTTTAGCAAAAAGAGATTAAGTCTAATGAGAGGTAGAGGATGTAGCAAGAAAGCAGTTGAATCTTCTTATTGCAGTTTCCATAGAAACACATGTTTCTCTTAGGAATTATACCAGAATGGGTCTATCAAAAAAAGTACAACGATTATAGATGTTCTGTTTCTTGGTAAATACGCTAATAGTGTAGAAAACAATTAGAATACATCTTTTACAGTAAAGAAGGGAATTCTTTATCAAACATAATATGAAGGAAGTTTTCCTGGTAAGTTATAATTATATGCTGGATCAGGTGACAGAGAATCTTTTGTTAGCTTAGTAAAAAGTCCTTTAATATATTCCCGATATTTTGCAATTTAGAGAACTAGGAAATGTGCTATTGATGAAGCAGTATAAGTGCTGTTCATTAATTTGCCTCTAAATCAAGGGCAAGGGCTCATAACAAGGGTGCCTGCCTAGAGAGCACAAAATTGTGTGGTAGCTGCAGGAATTGAGGATGGAGGAGCCCAAAGTCCTGGAAATGGCTGATGCTAGGTATCAATTTATCTTCAAACTTTATTTGGGGATCCTATGTTACCAATCTCCACTATTTTCAGGGCAGACCACAGATTCCGTTTGGACATAGGCAGAATCCCAAGGCAGGACTACTGACAGGCGTGATCTATTTATAGGCTTAGTGAACTGCTGAAGTCCCTTAATTCTCGAAAGCCTACACATTTTAATTTGAAGTCAATTAAAATCATAAATAACTTCACCCTTTTAACAGGTGTCAACATCTTACATTGAGCTCCATAGGCTGATATCTTCCTCATTTCTCCTTTAGCCGTCCAGGTCTTCTAAATGCTGGGGATCCAAATTATCCATGGCTGGCTGACTCGTGGCCAGCCACAAGTTTGCCAGTGAACAATAGCAACAGTGGCCCAAATGAAATTGGGAATTTTGGGCGTGGAGGTAAGTCATGTCTTTCAACATAGTATTATTTGGCTTTTTTTTCTGTTTTCCTAGATTTTTTAAATCATATTAGTATTTTATTTTACAGTTAAAATAATAAGTCACACTTTCTAATAGTGCTATACATTGTTTAAATATTTTAATATAAGACATATATTTATATTGCCTTAAGAGAAACTAAGCTCTTTTCCTTTCAAAAATAAGAGAAACTAAGCTCTTTTCCTTTCAAAAATACTAGCATTAGATTACTAAAATCAAGATCGATACTGCTAACAAGGGTTTATGATTTGAAACACATGTTTTACTTCTCTAAATTCCATTCAACATGTATTTTTGAGCACATAAAATACCAGTGCAAAAAGAAATGGTTCTTGCCCTAATGTAATATATCATGTTAGGAAAAGACAGTTAAGTAAATATGACAAAGTGTTCAGAAAGCACTTTCTATAATTGCACAGTTGATAACCGGCATACCGAGTGAAAGATAAAAGAGTACTATGTAGCTACTGTGTAGATCATATGCTAATGCATCCAGAATTTGGTGCTAGAGCCCTGTTTAGTTTTTTATAAAGAGACAGAATTGAACCTACCATGACTACTGCTTCCTCCCAAATCTACCTTTTCTTCTCATCAGATGAAAAAATGAAATTAGAGATAGATTATAAGAACAGAGAGATCTTTGACCCCCAAATTTGACTTAGCAGTACGTATGTATTTTCCCCTAGTAAAAGAGTATCCAAACAGTTAGTGAACCTAAACTACTTTGTCAGTACCCTACATGAGAAGGCTACTTATTTATCTCGAAAAGTTATGTGAAGGGAGTGTTGTACTGTAGGAGCCTTTTGTACTTTTGAACTCATGTCCTTTACGTAGTTGTAAATAACCATATTTGTATAACTGGAGTAGGGTTATGAGGACAAAATAATGAATAAAGTATATTCAGAATGAATTATTGTATTTAAAGTCCAAATATAAGATAGACATTGACCTATTCAGGAAACAAGTGGTGAGCTGGGGATGCTGCTCAGTGATTGAACACTTGCATGCATATAACAGGCCTGGGTTTGATTCTCAGCACTGAGGAAGAAATACAAAGGAAAGAGAAAGGAAGAAAAGAAAAGGGACAGAATGATTGAGAGAGAGAGAGAGAGAGAGAGAGACAGAGAGACAGAGAGACAGAGAGAGGGAGAGGGAGGGAGAGGGAGAGAGGGGGAGAGAGGGCGATTTTCTAATGACAGGTGAAAACTGCAAGGCAGCAGGGGTATTAAAAATAATGTAGAATAGGGCTGGGGATTTAGCTCAGTGGTTCCACCGCCTGCCTGGCAAGTGCAAGGTCCTGAGTTTGATCCATGGTAAAAAAATAAAATAATAATAAAATAATAATAAAATAAAATAATAATAATAATAATAATAATAATAATAATGCAGAAGGAGACATATGTTTATTTGCTGGTTCTACTTCTTTGTCTGAGAAATGTCTGTTCATTTCAGATGTCTATTTTTGGATTGGGTCTTTAAATTTGGGAGGTCTGATTTTTTTAAAGTAATTTATATACTCTACATAGTAGAACTTTGCCTGAAGAAAAGCTGGTAACATTTTTTTCCCACATTGTGGGTTGTCTCTTCACTCTGTTGGTGGTTTTCACTTGCTGTGAAGAAGCTTTTCAATAAGATGAGATCCCAACTGTTGATATTTTGTGCTGGTTCATGTATGACTGAGGTTTTGTTCATGAAAGCTTTTCCTACACCAATAGAAACAGCAGATTAACATATGAAAAATATTCAAAATCACTGCTTATTCGAGAGATGCAAATGAAAACTCACCCCAGAAAGAATGGCTGCTATCAGAAATTAGCCAATTACAAATGCTGTTATGGTTTTGGGAAGAAAGGAACCCTTCTCCACTGCTGGTGGGAGTGTAGACTGGAGCAACCACTGATTTTCTAGGATTAGAGGTCCCAGTTGACCCAGCTTTTCTCCTGCTGGGTATCTTCCCCAAAGAATTTAAAGAATCACAGCACAGCAATATATGTATACCCATGTATACAGAGGCACAATTTGTAATAGCCAAAATTTGGAAACAGCCAATTGCTCATCACCTGGTGACTTGATCAAAGTGTGTGTTTTGTTGTTGGTGGTGGAGGTGGGTTTTTTAAATATATAAAATGGAGTACTACTTAGCCCTAAAGAATGAGAAACTAGGGACATTTATAGCTAAATGGATGGGCATTGAGGCCATACTCTTAAGTGAAGTAAAGAGGACACACATATAAATACAAAAGAGTGTCTCTGGTATGAGAAAACGAAGGTGTAAACAAGAATCACAATGTAGAATGGATAATATAAAATAGATGAGACCCAAAGAGGAAGGGGAAGTGAAAGCGGTAGGGGAGGGGAAAGGAAAAATATGAGAAAAGGAAAAAAACAGAAACAAAGTTCTTGTAAATGGGGAGAAGTGAAGAGGTGGAAGGGAAGGAAAGGGAGTGGGGGATAAAATAAGAACGAAGATACATTATGTAAAGGAACCAATTCCCAATGATGAATGTGATCATACTGTATATCTAAAACATACCAATAAACAAACTGACTTTATCTAAAGAAATTCAGTTCCCAAAGCTTTTCATCAAATCAAGGAATAACTCTTCTTTTACCTGCCATGTTTACATTAGATCAGTAAAACGTTCTATCTTTATATAGAGTAATATATACCTAAAGATGAAGAAAATTTTTCATTTTTCAAATTCTACCTGACTAAATTAACATCCGAGATATCTTGGTCTAATTTAAGCAAAGAGTACTTGTGTAGATTTGCAAGGTTATCTTGCATTTCTGCCTCATTTTCATGAAATGAGATGTTTCACAGATGAATATCAAGGCCAACACAATTCTCTGCAGCACCTTTATCACGGGGAGTTTGTATGCGTACATAACACATCCTAATTTTTTTTTTTTTTGTCATTTCCACTCCCATTCTTGGATGGAGTACAACTGTGGTGGTTGTACTAGTTTATATTCTCACCAATACTTTAGGGGATTCCTTTCTCTCACAGCTGTACCAGCCTTTGTTATTATTTGATTTCTTGATGATAGCCCTTCTAGAGCAAAATTATATCTCAACAATGTTGAACAAGTTTTCATGAGTTTATTAACCCTCTTTACTTCTTCTGAAGAGTGTCTGCTCGTTTCAACTGCCTATTTTTGGTTGGATCTTTTATTTCAGGACTCTAATTTTTTTAGTTCTTTTATATTCTAGATATCTGCCCTCTGAAGAATTACTGGAGAAACTGTTTGCTATTTTGTAGGTTGTCTCTTCATTGTGGTAGTTGTTTCCTTTGATGTAGAAGCTTTTAAACTTAATATGAACTCATTTGTTGACTCTTACTATTATTTAAGGCCAAGATAGTTCTTGCTTGGTTTTCTGGACTTCTCCTCAGTGTTATAGTCATTTCGAGCATTTACTGTATCAACAAATACTGTATGAGTTTTTTGTAGTTCCGAATTCATGTTCTTTACATAGTTGTTAATAATAATATTTGCATTTAAATGTGAAGAAAAATAGATTTATCAAGATGAATCATTTGAGAGCTGAGCAGAGCATGCAAGTCTGATGGTTTTTAGAGCCTTGGTTCTTTTATCTACAGTTCTGGAGTCTGAAGTTGGATTGCTATGTATGACCATGTAACTATATTCACAGAGAAGAGTAATGATGGATAGTTAGATTTCTTCCAATTAATAATGAAGAGGCCAGGGATTTGGTTGAGCAGTACTGTGCCTGCCTTGCAAGCACAAGGTCCTGAGTTTGATCTCTGGTACAAAAAACAAAAAATCCAATTAACAATGAAATACCAATACACATTTGAATGCAGTGGTAAATGCATATAAAGAATAACTTAGTAATTGGCAAATAATTCTGTTTTTTTCACAATACAAGCTATAAAGAATTTCATTTAACAATTTTGTCACATATTTACTGTCCTTGAAACACTGGGTGAGTGAGATATTATGGAAATAAAGACATACATCGCATTGGCACGTGTACTCCAGTAACTTAGGATGCAATGAAGCAGACAGTTTTTCACAGGAATGTCGTGGCAGGCAATATATAAACAAATCCATGAGTACTAATAGAAAAACATGCTCAAAAGTTGCATCATTAATTCAATTTGGAGTAAAGTATTTCTGCAACTGAAGGCTCTCAAACACAAATGTAACAAGCACCACTCAGACAACCTGAAGCATTAGGGTTGGGCTGGCGGGGACTATAAGAAGTACAAGCATATAGTCAGGTCCAGCGTCTTGGGAGAAACAGTGGCATGGAGTTCCAAACCATTCCATGTTATAAGACTTACCTCGATATACAGACATTTGTCTAAAATCTAGTATTTCAATGTTGGGATATTAATACATTTATTTTTGAAAATGTGGGAGTGATCAAATAGTATTTGAAGAAAAGATGAAGCCCCCAAAATCAGTATAGCAGTACTTAAACTGGAAGGTTGACTATAATTTCTTCTAGAGACAGACAGAGAAAGAGAGATAGACAGGAAGATGGAGAAAGAGAAGGACAGACAGAAAGAGGCAGACAGATAGACTGACAGAAAAGTGGAACAGAGCGAGTGAGGGAGACAGAGAGAGAGAGAGAGAGAGAGAGACAGAGACAGAGACAGAGACAGAGACAGAGAGAGAAGGAGAGGTAGGGAGAGAGGGAGATTTTCAGAGCCATGGCTTTAGTTGTCGTAGAGTAATACTATATAGCATTGGATTCTTAAACTAGTTCTTTATTTTTCATTTTTTAAACATTTTAGAAGGGAGACAGAGAGAGAGAGAGAGAGAGAGACAGAGACAGAGACAGAGACAGAGACAGAGAGAGAAGGAGAGGTAGGGAGAGAGGGAGATTTTCAGAGCCATGGCTTTAGTTGTCGTAGAGTAATACTATATAGCATTGGATTCTTAAACTAGTTCTTTATTTTTCATTTTTTAAACATTTTAGCACTAAATAATGCCGATGGCTTGGAGCTGAATTGGCATACAATCTAATCTAAAGCTTTGGAGAACTGAAAGTTCACATCATGTGAAACTGAAGTCTATGTTGGAAAAACATTTCTATTCAGTTAATAGTCATCAAAAAAAAAAAGATAGAGGGGACAGAAACAAAAGTCTGAAAACTGATGCAGAGAGAAGCTTCTATTTCCATCAACTTTAATACATTATTAAAATATGTTTTGAGAATAAAAATGAATTATGTGCATTCAACATCAATTTTCCAAGTAGCGTATAGCTTAAAACAAGAAGAATAAGACAGTTCTTGTGTGATTCTGAAATATGAAAACAATTTTACTTACTGTCATAGTTACTTTCTCATTAGTGGGGCAAAATACCTAACACCCCCACAAGTTGAAGAAGGAACGGTTTATTTGGCTCACAGTTACTGGAGGTTTCCATCCATAGTCAGTTGCTTCAAGGTATAGAGACATTGAAGAGGAGGAAGAGCTCATGGTAAGGCCAGCAGAAATCAGCAAGACTCCTTCTTCTTTGCCTTTTCATCCCATCCAGGCTGCCAGACTACAGCTTGGTGCCATCTACACTCAGGGTGTGTCCTCCTTTTCCAATAAATCCATCATTCACACCCAGAACTATGCTAAGTCAATCAATCCAGGATGATACATCCATAATGTCATCATCCCCATAACCCAACCTATGCGCACCCAAGGCTTTAGAGGGACACTTAGGTATAATCCATAATACTTACTTGTACAGCCTACTGAAATGTTACAAATTTGGATATGTTTACCCCACTGATGAGCATTCAAAATCTTTGCTTCAATAAAGTGCATATCCACGTTTTTGGTAAAATAAGTTGGCAAATCTCAAAACTTCCAAGGAGACCACAGTTAAAGTGTATGAAATATATCATAAATTTCTTATTACTGTTCCTAAAGAAGACAGATATTGTCTTTGTAAAAGAAAAAGCAAAACTAATATTTCTGTAAGAATCCTTATTTTAAGTGGGATTGGATGTCACTGAAGCTGAAAGTTGCAAAAACTGTTGAAAATTTCTTATAATGAAGAGATCAAGTGATTTTATGGCCTCGAGTCCTGTGAAGTGACTTCTTAGAGCATATATTATTAAGGAAGTTACCATAATTAGATTTATTTTAATGCTACATGATTAAAACTAGTGTTAATGATTTCTCTTTTAGATTCATTTAATATCACTCTTCCGAGAATGTAAAATAAGTACTCAGGAGAGAGGTGACAGATCTAAATTATAGAGCATCATGTAAAGATAATTCAGCATACCAAAATGATAAATGGACTGATTGATATTCAGTGTTGTTCCTGAAGTTTAATTTTACTTTTGCTGTTTTACAACGTGAAGCTGTAATTCTCCCGCTTCTAAGACTTGATAATATAAACTCCCTGATCACTGAGATTGCTTTTTCTATCGTTGTATCCTGCCTGTATTGTGAAAATGACTTATTCATGAAGATTTTCCTTTGTTATCCACGTAAAAGAACACACCTCTCCCTCACTTATTCTCCATTTCTCGTGCTATGAAATTAAATCAGATGAATATCAAGTTAAAATTCAGGGAAATGTATTTCATAGTCAAGGTAGGATAATTTTGTGAAATTTCACAACTTTTCAGCAATTGTGTCCTCTATCCCTTAGGGTAAAGTAGAAATAGATATTTTCGTCTATGATTTTTGGGTTCCCTCTTAGCCTCTTCCCAGAGCTTCTGTAAAGCATTAATACTTTCCTTGCTTTTAAAACAGTGTGAACCACTGAAAGCATTTTTCAGTAGTAAAATGTCCCAAACTTCTCATTTATGACTGAAGAAAACAGAGTAAGGGATGTGTTGAGCAGTGAGACGTGAAGGACAAGCAGTAGGCCCGCCTGTCGGTGAGGTTGATAGCTCAGTGATGTTGTATATCATCTACCGTTCATTGGCTCATGAAGCCTATCTCAGCTGAAATGCAAACGTGTGGCCTGACACATTTATTTTTCATCTTTAATCTTGATAGTTTTGGGTTTCCTGTGCATCATTAAATTGTTTCATTTCCCTACATTCACCACAGATGTGCTGCCACCAGTTCCAGGCCAAGGGGATAAAACAGCAACAATGCTCTCAGATGGAGCCATTTATAGTAGCATTGACTTCACTACCAAAACCACGTACAACAGTTCCAGCCAAATAACACAGGCTACCCCATATGCCACAACACAGATCTTGCATTCCAATAGCATCCACGAATTGGCTGTTGAGCTGCCTGATCCACAGTGGAAAAGTTCAGTTCAGCAGAAAACAGATCTGATGGGATTTGGTTACTCTCTACCTGATCAGAATAAAGGTAACAATGGTAAGTCTGATTCTTGTGTCTTGAGAAGTTAATTTCACATCATCTATGCATGAGATAGAAATTAGAATTTGTTGTTCAATTTAGTGATTCATTGCCAGGTTTACTTCCTAATCTAAAAATATTTACCAGCATGTATTCAGTATGTTGAACAATCCCTATCACCACCACCACCGCCTCCGCCGCCACCACCACACACCTACACCAGTCGGTTCCATCCTTCTAGCTCTTTTTCAGTATAGGGATCAGCAATCATCTCTGCGTCCATTAGGACAGGATAATTAAAACATTCTTCACTGTCCCACAACATCTGCTTCTAAGTTGCTAACTGCATGTTCTGCATGGGCTTGTGCTGTGAACTAATCACATGATGCCACTATGACCTCTGCCCTTTAACCCTTAGCCTTACTTTACATCCCTGACTACCGATTGGCTGAGGGATTGTCTAATAGAATGCCACACAACCAGTCACAGGATTTCAGCACCACCAGCTCTCACAACAGCTCAGAAAGGAGTGGCAGTCTATCAGGTTGGTCTTATCACAGTAAGGAGAAATATTTGTTTGTCACCAGCATATGACCTGTATCCCTAACATCCAGTGGAGAAATACTGAATCACAGCCCACCATTAAGCATTTATCTTTCAAATGACAATAACATTTGATTCTAATGAAATCCTGCTTTGGTGTGGGGAGGAGGAATAAAAATCACACTCACCCTCAGTATTTAAAGAAAAATAACAACATTTCGCTAAATACTGTTTATTAAAAAGCAGATAATTTTGCTATTTCTTAGTTAAAATACCTTTATAATATAAAGGTCATACATGAAACGCAATTCTATGTCACTGATACCAAAAGATAACTGGAACTAAAATAAAAATGATTTGAAAACTTTTATATTAAGACTCTAAGTGATATGACTCCCTATTTTTGGAAAAACTTTACAAAATATATAAAATTCATTATCTAGGGAATGAAATTGTACTGTGCTAAACAAATGCCAGTGTGAGAGGTTATTATTAATATTTAATTTTCAAAAAGCACATATATAATCTTTGATATGGACAATTATTTTATGCTGTAAATTTTAAAATGGATTTAACACAAATAGCTAAACTGACAATGTATAATATATGTATTGTATAGCACATGAGGGGAAAAATTTGCACAGAAATATATTCCTATGATAATTAATATTAGTGACAGATACTATTCTCTGAACATAGTATTTACATGGTATGGTTGAGTATCTGTGTATTTCTAATTGATTCCATGATAATACTTTTTAATATGGTAAGATTAAATATATGCTATTTGTTTCCTTGGTATTTTTGCTTCTTTTTAAAAATTAAATCTTAATGGTAAAGGATTCCTGTGTTCTGTTTCAGGCTAAGCATCAAAGCCATAAAGAGTTAACTTTTCTACATCATTAGGGATACATTTACTAAATTACTTTTCCTCAGGAGATAGAACCATCTCAGACTGAAAATGTTAATGCTTTCTCTTCCCTCCAAAACGAGTCATTTGCTCTTCTTGCCTATTGGTAGGATTAGATACATTATAGAATTCAGAAAATTTTAAACATCTGTTATGAATTTAAACTGGCTTAATGATATAGGGGAACTTTTTGAATGACCTTATCTGTCATTTATGCTGTCATTTAATTATAATTAGTCCCAAAATTATTCTGAATCATTAAAAGGTAATTTTTCTAAAGCTTCATTTTTTATTTTAGCAAAGATACATAAAGATCAAGTAATATACTAAAATAAATCTATATTACGGCAAGCCTTGGATTCTACAAGATATGTGAAACTTTCTAAATACTCCATATAGATTGATTACCACTGAATTTTAAGTTACCTTTTGAGTAATCGTAAGCAGAAAACAATTCACAATAGTGCTTGCTGGGGTTTTTGTATCCATTAGTCTCTTGTATGACATTTATTTATATATATTATATCTAGGAATTATATTAGCTACATCTACATTTATATCTAGGAAGCATATTAACTACATCTACATCTGAATGCAAAATTACTTAAATTGATAATAGTATTTTTCAATAGGTAAGATTGGAGTAATTATTCCTTTTTTAGGTTAGTCCAATTGAGTTTAATATTACAGTTCTGATTAATTCTTATATTTGTGAGCATGTTTCCTAAGCTTCAAATTTAAGATCAAGCTACCCTATGGCTAACTAATCACGACATGTGAAGGGATTTTCTTAATCTGCGTACAACCATGCAACCAATTTAAAAAAATAATCACAGTGATAAAGTGTATAGGACATTTCTCAGTTATTTGAGTGAACCTGTTTGAAATGGTGTTATCATTTTGTTCAGTATATATCTTCTGAGTACTTCCGTTTAAAAAATCCAAGCAGGTTGCAAAATAGTATTTTAAATTATAATGTATACAGCAGCAGTGGTCACAATAAATAAATCTTTCAATACACCAATGTTGTTTTAAAAAATGAACTAGACATCAAATTTTTAAATGAATTGATCTCACTACTGCCTTAATATCAAAGTCATTTATTAGGCATAAAAATTCCAAATATTTACATTTCAATTGTAAGACATAGGAGTCAAATATGTAGGCCAGGCCCCAAAATGGGTTCCCTTGAAACATGATATGGGCAGTTCTCACCTTAACATGACTAAAGATTCTTTGGTTGCTGCTAAAAGCTGACTGTGTTCATTTATCTAAAGATCCAGATTTCAGAAAGAAATATGTAACTCTTTTTGATTATGTCACCTTGCCACCTTGCTAATAGCCTACTACTTAGAGCATAGCAAGGGGAAAATAGCCCTGTTCATTAATAGTTCTTCCTAGCTTTTTCAAAAGATAACTTATGTCCCCAACAGAGAGAAAAGTAGAAAGCCCTTTGAGATTAACAATTTTAAGTCTATTGTTTGGAAGAGTAGGTAACAAATGCATTTCTTGAAATTACACAGAACTTCAGAGGTTGTATTCAGAAATCTAGAGATAGTTCCTAGTAAACTACTGCATGGTACTGTAAATCTGGGTTTTCTCTTTTATGTGTATGTGGACAAATAACACTTAGGAAGATTCTTAGTATCTCCACCTAGCAAATAACTTGGAAGACCTTCCTTGTTTCTGTCACTCATATTTCTGATGGTAATCGGATAACACTTCTAAAAGTTCTGTGGGAAGTGGAAAGGATTGTACGCATACAAAGACAAGAAGCATAATGGAGGTTCATAAAAGGGGAAGTCTAGCAAGATGAGTAGTCCAACCCAATCCTCTTTCACTTGTTGAAATGCAGCGTTCTGATACTACAAAAAAGATACGTGATCCTTAGTCTTTATTTATGATTTTGGTGGGTTAAAAAAGTCAAGGAATAAGCTTCATTTACTTTTCAAATAATTACAGACTTGTTAAGTTTGTCATTCAGACTATTCCTCAATACTCACTGGGCCTGGAGAAGTTAGAGTAAGGAACATGTTTGGAAAATAAAAATATGGCCAGGCATGGCGGAACACGCCTCTGATCCCAACACCTAGGATGTTGAGGCAAGGGAATTGCTGCAAGTCTGGGGCCAGCCTAGGCTACATAGTGAGTTCAAGGTCAGCATCAACTGCAAAGAAAGACCCTGTTTCAAAAAGGAAAGAAATAAGGACAGGGATTTAGCTCAGTGGTTCCTCCACCCGCCTCACAAGCACAATGTCCAGAGTTCAATCTCAGGTACCAGAACTAAAACGATCATAAAGAACAATGACTGGCATTTATTGAGGCTTCTGTATGTTCTGAGTACTTTATACGCATTGTTCCTTCTTAAATAATCCTAAAGATAACTCAGAGAAGTAACTTTACATCTCTGTTACATGTGTGGAAATTGAGTTATACCCATTGAGTAACTTCTGAAGTAAGTGAAGAGATAGTCTTAGAACCCAGAAATAAAGCTTTTCTTTAAGAATCAGGTCCCTGCCCTCCTTCATATCAAAAATAAAAAGTGCAAGGAAAAGGGAAAACATTTTGCTTTCAGGGATAGCTGTATGTGTGCATGCTACATTGGAAAACATACACAACTCCATAACCGGTGGTAGCACGTATGTTTAGTTTAACAGTTTTATCACCTTGTGACATATCATTCATAAAATATGCAAACTAATTTAATAATGGGTAAACAAAGAAGATAGGAGGAAAGCTTTTATGTCTATATGATCTGAGGGCCCTGATACAAACATTTTATGCTCCAACTTTTGGTTCCAAGAGGGTGAAATGTAAGAGTTCAACGCTACCTTTTCATTTACAGTTACAGATTGTGATGGGGGTAAGAGAAGATACTTAGGAGCCCCTGCAGCAGCCCTCGACATTTTACCCAAAAAGTATTCATTTCCCTGTCTAACTTTGCCTATTATTTTTTAAAGAAGCTTTATTTATTTAATCATGGAAGTGTAAAATTACAGTAGTATGCAATGATAGCTTTCATTTTTGTATTTCATTAAGCTTCATGTAACCCAAGATACAGCTCATACACTGCTGACTTACTTTCTGCTCATGTTTGTGCATGAGTTCATCTGTATTACGAACAGTACTGTAACTGATTGCTGTGCTTCCATTAATTTCCCTCCTTTTGGAATTTATGAAATGTTCTGCTTAAAGCTGCTGGGAAATGTTCTCACTCTATGCAAAAGTAATTGTACCATTCATTAGTCAAAAAGTCTGTGAAACGTATCATTTTGAGAGATTTGCAGGTATTCTCCAGATTGTAGGGAGATGATTGATTTTTATCAGTGACTTTTGAGAGAAAATGTTACTCTTCTGGATTAATTAAATTGAATAAATTCTAATGGAAAACTTTAGCCTGTGTCCTTAGACACTGTGTTTTCCACTGAGAGAGATTATGCAAAAGTGTATTATAAATGCACTAAAATCTGACATTTAAAAGAATTGGTTATGGACTGTTATTTCATCTAACAATGAAAACATGGAGGCAGCAGACATGAATAAATCAATAAATGTGCTTTTGATACAACATCCATGTTTTTGGTTTATTCAGCTCTGCAGTTGAAGCACCGGGATAGAAACAATATCATTTTGAATGATTTCTAAAGGTGTTTTTCTGATTATATTATTTCATTGTTTATAGCTCTTACCATTTCTAACATGCTGATTGCTGGTGTTTTGAAAACATAAATGCATCTTTCCATGTGACATTCTCTGTTTTTTTGTTTTGTTTTGTTTTCTGATATGTAGCATCTCTAAATAAATGTATGATTGCTTTCAGGTGGGAAAGGTGGAAAAAAGAAAAAAAATAAAAATTCCTCCAAACCACAGAAGAACAATGGATCGAACTGGGCCAATGTTCCCCTACCTCCTCCCCCAGTCCAGCCCCTTCCCGGTACAGAGCTGGAACACTATGCTGTGGAAGAGCAAAAAAATGGGTAAAAGTATTTTATGTGCCAGCCAAATGGCCAAGGCTGCATTCCGCTTGCTATTGTCCACTTTTGCCTGGGATCTCTTACTTTCCCTTCCTGCCTCTCCGCCCTAGGCATTGCACACACCCGTTTCCCTTGTTTGCACTGTCCATATATTTTTAGCTAGGAAATACAAAACAGCACAAATTGAGGTCTGAGAATCCTTGGCCCTCAAGTGCCTTAGATTGTCTGCAATCATGATAATGCAGCCTCCATTTATAATATTGCTTGTTAGTTTGAAAGCAGGTACCCACAGCTCTGTGAACTAAAGAGCCACTCCTGAGAAGGCCTGAAAAAGGAATTAAAATAACCTTCTTCATCATCCCTTGCAGTTCTCTAATGACTCGATGTCTGGCCATAGCAGGGCGCCACTGTAGAGCGCCACACAATGGGATAATTGTAGGGACCTGGCTAGAGGGTAGAACTTTAATCATCAGCTCTGATGGGGACTTAGGGACAATGAAGGAGGCTCAGGCCAGTGCACACTGTGTAACAAACCCTTTCTAAGGAAGGGAATTCCCTTTGAAGGCTTTTAAACGAGACCACTTGCCTTGTTCTTTCTCAAACATGTCACAAGGGTTAGTTTTCTCTGTTAATTCATTTTAGGGACAACAGCAGGTATAATTTTTGCTTCATTCCAGAAGCAAGCGGAAGTCAAAAAGCAACATCCTCAGTCTGTTTATCTATTTTAATAATTCTTAATGCTATATCTTCCTTAAAATTTCTAAGCGACCGTTTATTTTGACTGGGCCTTTGTGTAGCCTAAGCATACAGAAAATGGGCAGTTTTTCTTTTTGCACATTTTTTACTTAAAAATATTTAAATATAAACCAGTTTCATGGTATTTGAATGCTAGTCTTAGTCTTACTTTGGTTCAAATAAAGATCTCAGGCTGACTTATATATTTTTGTATTCCTTTAATTTTACCTAACTGCTACTTTTGGGCTCTCTAGATTTCTCTTCTAGAATGCTTGTGACATTTTCTTTCTTCAAAAATATCATTTGCCTTTTCCTCTATACACACACACCCACAGATGCACACACACAGATGCACACACACATGCATGTGTGTATACACAGACATATTTTCCCTGTCTCTCTCTCTCTCCTTCCAGAAGGCTTCATTTGTCTCTCTATGGTTGTAATGCCCACATTTATGTATGTCCTTATTGTTTTAGTTTTTTTAAAAATTTGCATTTGAAATAGGTAACTAAGAACACACCCTCTGTTATCTTGACTTTATTTTTAAAAATTTTTATGTTTTGGTACCAGGAATCAGGACCTTGCACTTGGCGGTGCCACTGAGCTACATGCCCGGCCCTTTTGTCTTGACTTTTTTTGTTTGTTTGTTTTTTTTGAGACAGGGTCTCACTGTATAGTTGAGACTAACCTGGAACTCACTATGTAGCCCAGGCTGGTCTTGAACTCACACAGATCCTCCTGCCTCGGCCTCCTGAGTGCAGGGATTACAGGCATGCGCCACCATGCCCAGCCTGTCTTGATTTAAAAAGATAAAATTCTGTATATGATATGTCACATGAATCATAAGCAAACAAACAAACAAGCAAAACAAAACCGCAGAGTGCACTTTGCAAAAAAAAGAAAAAAAAATCAAGTCCTGACCATTTATACATATTTGTAAATTAACTTCATTGGTACATTTTAGGTGCACATTATGATCACATTAATCATTAGGAATTTGTACCTGTACATGATATATCTTAGTTGTTGTTTCCCATTCCTGATCCTTTCTTTCCACCAGTCTATCTCTCCCTACTTACAAAAGCTCTGTTTCCATTTTTTCCCCTTTTTTCTCATATATTTTCTTTCCCTTCTTTCCTGCCCTCCCATTTCCCCTTCCCCTTTGAACTTTGCTTCCTTTTTTCACATTATCTTTTATACATTTGGGGCCTCATTTACACTTTCAGTTTCTCACACCAGAGACAATGTGATATTTACAAGTGTGTCCTGCTTGTTTCACTTAGGAGTATGGCCTTGATATGCATCTATTTATAATTGTTTCTAGTTTATCATTCTTTATGGCTGAGTAATACTCTGATACGGTAATCAGAAAAATGAGGAAGTGGTACTTGTAAAATGAATGGGAAGAGAAGTTAATACTCTTGACACTTTAGAAGCACAAAATCGCGAACTCAAATCACTTGAAATCTGTAGATGATTTTGAATTCTTTCCTTTCTTTTTTATTGAGTTTAGTTTTAAAATATATAAAACATAATAATGCCTATTATCCATTGAAACAAATCTATTTTAATAAAAATAAATAAATATCAAAAGAAATATCACTTGATCGTTGTGGAGCAAGATAGTTGAAAACATTTATGTGATGATGAAATAATACATGTTGGTACAGAGTTTTATCTTTTGATACATTGTTTTCAAAATTTTGAGATATGAAACGAAAATATTTCTCCATATTTGGAGATTGGCAAAGTATTTTAATATTCAGTCAAGGTACATATTATTAAATCATTTAATATTTTTAAATATCTCTATGATATTTAAATTGATAAGATATATTTAGAATACATATATATGTGTATATATGTATGTTGAGTATTGAAATTAAATAATATCTTTATGACATATGTTTGATTATTTGTTGTTAAATGTTTATTTCCCTTAACAAACGCATTTTTATAGAAATAATTGCTGTGTTCTTACCCAAAGCAATGATTATGTTATAGCAAGTCAATAACAATGGCAGCAAAGTTTGTTATCCTCATTTATCAAGGTAATTTCTTCTAAGCCTAACTTCTCAAAGTCTGTATCTCAATCATTTGTGATAAAAACACATTTAAAATCAAAATGACAAGAACAATTAAAAGCAGTACATTATCCCTTTTTTAATGTATTCTTTATACTTTTATGCTTTCTAGTGCATGAAATTCATGATACTGAAAAGGAAATATTGTACACAGATTATTCATTGAATATTTCATGGAAAAGATCTGTACAATGTTTGTATGTTTTAAATTGAAATCCTTATAATTCAATCTTAATGGTTTCTTCATTTACAGATTGCACACACACAAACACACATTCTAGGTAGCAAACTCTAGGTAATGATGTACAAAATAGTAATTTGCCTAGAGAGAGTGGTAATTATTTACAGCCTAAGGAAAACTTGTCTTAGTTGAGTATTGAAGCAAATGTTGAATCCTTTATTTATAAATAGTGGTACCCAAAAATGGAAGGCTGTTGGATGTCAGGCATGGGACCAAAATAATAACAAAGCATATTACTAAATACCCTCTATCTTGCCGGTGCACTAGAATAAATCACCAACCAACAGCAACAACAAAATCCTACCAGAGTCAACATTTGCTGTGCGAATGAAGAATGTTTTTCTGCTCAAAGACTAAAAGAATGAAAAAACAAACAAACAATAAAATATGAGAACACAGCAACATCTTTCCTTGAGAAACCCACCCTGTTCTGGTTTAGGTTGTCTTTCACTTATTTTTCACTATTCCTTATGCTCACACCTCTGTTGCAGTATTCACCATATTCTTTAAAATTGTTTCTCTGCATTCTTCAGTACTTGGTAGGTGCTGTATGGATTTGCTTAGTTTTAACCTTACGTGGTGTAGGAGATTTTATGAGGAGTTAGCCTGGGCTTATTTGAATCCTCACATGCCATAGAAGGATTCTGATGTTTGAGTATGAAGATGATGAGGACACCAGCTGGGAGGGCAGGTGGATAATGTACAGAATAGAGCAGCAGAATGGTGGATCTCAGATAAAGGATGAGGGAATTAAATAATGCAAAGACATGGGAAAAGAGGAAAATGAGAGATTTAGGAGATGTTTTGAATAACCATGGTTTTTAAGATATAGTCACTAATCTTGTTAAAACTTTTAGTTTTATTTTTAGCAGTTTAGATATCACCAGTTTTCTAAGCTTTGACTTCAAAATATTAAATATCAAAGTTATTAAATCATTGTCTATTTCCCCACATAGTAGACTAAATATGTTATCAGATCATTGTTCAAATGAAAAAGTATTTAATTGTTCATCCAAAAATACAATGATAGTGAATGTTAATTCTCATCAATATGAGTCTTCAGTTGAACAAAAATGTGTTAAAATATTTAGTTCCTAGATATAAATATAGTACATTTTAGTACCACCATAGGATGCTAAGAACTCAATAGTAATTAAATGGGAAACTGGTGCATTGCTTTGTTATTGAAATTAGTGATTGGCAAGATTTTTCTAGTGATGAACTTCATAGAATTTTATTAGTAATTTGGTATTTGTGTGTGGCCTTTAACAAGTTAGTTCTAATGCGATATGGATTTTCTGTCAACTGTATCATTAATCACCAGGAAAGACAGATAATAAAATGCTTCAAACTTCACTGACAGAATATCAGAAAACAAGTGCTTCCCTCAGAAAGATTGGTCAAAAACATTTTGGTTTGGCATTAGGAGCATTTTCACAGTCTGTCTGGGTTACTACAGGAAAAAGTTGAAATTCTATCCCTCAAGTAAGATGTATGTCCTTAAAATGTGAAGGAAACTATGGAAATTAAGCCTCAATGACAAGGGATTTAGCTCAGTGGGGCTGCCTCCTGCCTTGCAAGGTCCTGAGTTCAATCCCTGGTACCAAAAAATTAAAATTAAAATTAAAAAAACAAGAAAGTGAGCATCACAGTTCATAAAATTTCTAGTATTCTGATACCTTCTTGTTCTCCTTCATTCTTTATTACCACAAGCAGCCTAAATCTTTGTTCTTCCAGAATAGATTAAGGCGGATACCACAGAAATGAGACTTGATGGACACCATATCCTAACTTCTCTTTATCAAGTCCTTTGGATTCTTCTAGTCTTTAGCAAATATTTTTTTTCTTTTTCTTTTTCTGTTTTGATTTCACGGACTTTTCTCAGTTTTACTAATGCTGCAGAGATACAAAGTTTTCTCACTAATGTTGTAATTTCTTTTTGCAGAAAAAACATAGACCAGTCATTAGCAACATCCATCCTAGTTTAACCAAATAGCTAATGAAATATGTTTCAGTCATTTTGCACAATCAGCAATGTATTCACATAATATAAAAGTGGTATTTAAATGCTTAGGCTCTCCTTTGCCTGACAATATTCAAATAATAAAAAATAAATCAAATGCAAATTCTGACATTTTTTCTGTAACTTCAACATGTTATGCTTGTAAATACATATTTCTCCTTTTTCTTATGTTCTCTGTGTCATATATATCATATATAATATATATGTGAAATATATATCCACTAGATTTTTAGAAATAAAAATCATTTACTGTTCAAAGAATAGGGAAATTTTAGGAAATAATTAGCTCCTTCCATTTGAAATATTGAATATAAAATGTAGCTCTTTATTTAAATATTTAATATCATCCCTGGAAATAAGCCAGTGTAACTAAAGAAAGTGCACTTATTGCTCTATTGCACAAAATAAAAAATGCTCTTTAATAACAAGTTTTGTAGAGTAAATTTAATTTTAACTATGGATGAATTATAATAGCATGTACATTCCATACTCAAGCTGAGTAATTCTTTGTAATTTGGCTTCTTATCATATTTTTGTTTGATTTAATTATACTCCATTTAAAGTCAAGTAAATGTATTAAGAAAAGAAAGCTGAGTACCCTTATTAATGGAGCAGTTATGTATTTTCATTTAAAATCAATAAGTATGATTATGACCTGCCTGTATAAGGTATAATAGGTGTAACAAAACAGTGTTATAGTTCAATGTCCTAACCATAAGTTTGTTTAAATCCATATAAGGAAAATATACTATATACATGTAAAAGGCTAAATACTAAAATAAATTAAGTAGTTAAAGGCACCAGAATTGGAAATGGTATTAGATTGTGTATAATAAATTTTCAAATAAATGTGCAAAAATATTGTCAGTGCAAATTCAGGAAAGTAATATATCACTGCTAGCTGGTCTCATTAAGGACATCTTTATAAAAGATGTGAGATTTAGCTTGTATCTTGAAAGATTTGTAATTTTAAGATAGGTAAATTTGGAGGACTGTAATTTATTTCAAATAAGTTGAATTCTGTAAACAAATGTGTCAGGATAGAAAAGTACAAGGAAACAAAACAATTTAGAGCAGGAGATTCTTGTTGGAAGACTATAAAAACTCTTCTCTAAATGTAGGATGATGCTTAAATATATTTAACGGACATAATAGAATGAAGAGAAGTACAGGTTTTTATTTGAACCATTTTTATATTCTTGTACACACATTTGTAAGTGGTGGGCAAGATTGCTTAGAAGATAGGAAAAGTCTAAAGTAGCAATTCCCAACCAGACAATAAGTTACAAATGCTTTAAATAATACAGTCTTCAAACTGAATCTGTTGTCTCCAACATATAAAAGAAACAAAAATGGCTGCTCTAGAGAAATGTATTTTTGATACAGACTGGGCACTCATGGTTAGTGAATAAGCATATAAGTTTAACCTATAGTAATTTGCAGTATAGAAAAATTATCATTTGTAACAAACTAAAATGTGGCTGCTGTGTATGCTGTTAGAAAAGTTACTTAGAGTTATCCTATTAAAAAGTGAAAGCCTTCTAAAACAGAGTTTTCAGTTTTAAACAGGATAAATAGAAAGACATTCAAATGAAAATATTCAAAAAACATCTGAATATCTCCAAGGAACCAAAATATAAATATAAGCATAAATATAAATATATGTATGTGTACCAGAAGAATATGCCAAGTAGTGGGGGAAAAAAAAACAAAACAATGAACCAAGTCAGACAAATACAATATGGGAAGTAACTCAATGTAAGTACGTACTATGGAGTTCCATGGCAGAGAGGGTTCTCTAAACTTACAACATTTGAGTGAGGCTTGAAGGAGACAGCAGCTCTCAGAGGCAGGAACACATGCAGATTGAAAAACATGTATAAAGCTGCTGAAGGAAAGAGTTGGAAATGAAGTTAAAAAAACTAGGCTGATCTTCTACGGAAGGATCTTTTTAGCCCAGCTAATAAATTTGAGCTTTCTATTAGTTATAGTTACTGAATGATTTTAAACATAAGCATGATGTGAAGGATTTTAGAAATATAATCCTCTTTCTTGTATTGAGGATATGGTAGAAAAGAAGGTAAGAGCCTAATAGAGTGGATGAGTTAGTTTACACTGGAAAGAGACTGGCTGTTACGGAGGTAGCGATGAAGCATTGGGGACAGACTCACTTGGGAGATATTTAAGTGGCTGAATTTGTAAGACTGTTATATCCAATAACACTGTCAGTATATTATGTAGAATAAAAGGTTGATAGAGACCTATAATAAGGGAAAATGAAATTTAAACACTCGATAGATGATCAATCAGCTCTCGGCATGTTCTCTTGGTGTACGAGGCTAAACAAGACAAGGAAGTAGTTAAATCTACAAGCCCTAAATTCATTAATTGTCTTTAATTAGCAATTTGGTGTTTCCACATGAGTAACTTTACTGAGAAGTTATTGCCTTGTGTAACTGTGGGATAACAATTAGCTAATAAGGTCTTTAAAGTATAAACTGAGATATTTGAGATAACAGATGTAATTACAATTGGAAGTTAAGATAATAGCCAGGTGATTTACTGTGGTAACACCAACAAGAGGAAATAAACGGAGAGAACAATTTAGACACAATATGGTTGTTACTTGTTGCCGTATAATTGTGTGCATTCTTACATGTTTTGATGTGCATTCTTTCTTCATCTTATTTCAGCTATGACAGTGATAGCTGGTGCCCGCCATTACCTGTGCAAACATATTTACACCAGGGCATAGAAGATGAACTAGAGGAAGATGAAGACCGGGTCCCAACACCTCCTGTCCGAGGCGTGGCTTCTTCTCCTGCCATCTCCTTTGGACAGCAATCCACGGCCACTCTCACTCCCTCCCCGCGGGAAGAGATGCAGCCCATGCTGCAGGCTCACCTGGAGGAGCTGACCAGGGCCTATCAGTTTGATATAGCGAAACAAACATGGTAACTATCCTCAGAGGGGGATAATTTCAACGCAGAGAAGTTTCCTTCACACAAACTCACAAGAGATTCTCTAAAACTATGCAGATAGGATTTTAAATTTTTGTATAGTCCTTAATCATTTAGATAATGAAAATGACTACAGAAATGTTAAATAATTCATCCAGAGTCACTTAACTAGTTAGGGAGTGAACAGAGGACAGAATTCAGATCTGCAGAATTTCAGGTTAACATGCTTTTGGCTATACTGGAGTCTTTTCTAATTCACGATTTAGCTCCAATTAGCTTATCCTTGAACTCACTTTTAATGTCATAATAAGACTCCTTTTAAATTCTTTGAAGTGCCTGTGGATAATTCTGTATGTGGTTATGAATATGTAAATATAATGTTCTACAGATCACTTATGACCAAAGTTAGTTATTAAAAGGCTATATTGGGACTGAAGAGAAACAAATCAGAAAAACAATATTAGAAATGGTAAGTGCATCCAAAAATAACTCTCCAAGACTAAGTTAAAAGCCCCAAGTTCATTTTTCTGATCATTTCATAAATTTTCATAAACTACAGATACAATCTACTAAGACATCTCATGTGAATATGGCAAAAATGCAAGGAGGGCCAAAATTTACAGTTTCATAGAGTTGCTTTTTTGTATATTTTTCTCTCAAATAGTGATATATAAGCTTCCATACTTGAAAAAAATCACCGTGAAACACCTTAATTTGTTTTCTGTTGACTTATACTTTGGGCTTAAAATCAGAGTAAATATTTTAAATTCTCTTTGCTTTTCTGATAGTTGTGGGAACTGGGAAAGTTAATAAGGGGATGGTTCTTATACTCTGCTAATAAATTATTTTTAAAGTATAGCTCTAATAATTACCATGCACAAGAATATGTCTTAAAGCAGTCATAAGCATATCATTTTCTTTTCTTTTTCTTTTTTCTTTTTTTGGTACCAGGGATCAAACTCAGGGCCTTGCACTTGCAAGGCAGGCAGTGGCTACACTGAACTAAATCCCTGGCCCAACATGTCATCTTCATAGAATGAAAGGCATTTAAACATTTTCCTAATTAGCATTTTCTCAAAACTTAATGATACCTTACATTTAAACCATTTTATGAGCTGGGCATGGTGACACCCTCAGGTGGCTGAGGCAAGCGGATGGCTGTGAATTGAAGACCATTGTGGGCTACATAGTGAGTTCACGGCCAGCCTGAACTACATAGCAAGACTCTGTCTCAAAAAACCAAACAAAAAATATATTATTGTATAAAATATCACTATTTAATTTAAAATTAACTGCTTAAAGAATGATAGATGATCCTGCAAATTAAGTAATGAATACATGTAGTTTGGTCAAGTATAGCATAGACTTTAGCTCATGGATTATTGATTTTGTCTGCTTTTGAGAATTATTTAGAAAATCTTAAAATATACTGATACTGCCTTCAGATTGATCTTGATTTCTTAGTTCAGGATTTGAATGAGAGCAGCTGAGATTGGGGTCAGTGCCATGAAGGTCAGACTGCCTTACTTGCTGTATGGCCTTTAGCAACTTGCTTAGCAGATTATGATATAGCTGTCTCATTGGTAAAATGATGGCGATAATAGTAATGGCCCATTTACAGAATTAAAGGGTAGTTCTTATAACCACCCCATGTCTGCTGCCAAGTACAAGTTTCAAAGATCCCCAAGAACACCCTGAGGTTGAAAGGTTTATTAGAAGAATTTATAGAACTAACTGGAAGCTATTATATGCAGATTTTCAGTCTATCACAGTAAAAAGATACAAATTAAAAGTCAAGCAAGAAATAAGATTTTAGTGCAGAATCCAGGAACATTCCAAAGGCAGAGTTTCCAATAGTCTTCATCCAGTGGAGTCACAGAGAGCATTGCTTTCTCAGTGAAGAGTGTGACAATAGATGCAATATTGTTAACCAGGGAAATGAACACGAGCCCTTTGGCCTAGATACTTTATTTGTGTCTGTCACATAACTTACCTCAATATCCAACCCATCCAGAGGTTCTGCTAAATGGTGTGACTTGAGTTCTCCAGCCTTCCCCATAGATTGTATTATGAGGCCTTTTGGAATAGCCTAAGATGTCCAGGGGAAACAGAGACTCCTTGACTGGACAGAAAAATCCTAAGAGGTTAGACATTGCCTCTTAGGAATGGGGAAGAGAAACATAATCTCTCCTGTGTCAAGGTTAAATTTTTAGTTATGCACCATAGTTTTTGAGAAAGTTCAATGAGTTTTCATTTGCACAGTACTTAGAAAATTATGATGCATATTTTGCAGTTTTGAATATTTTGTTATTTAGAAGGGTTTGAGCTTTCACTTGCGTTATTCAATAGTCTCTTTGCACACTTAGAGAAAATTTTTCCACTTAGTGCACAATGAGTATACACTGAATGGATACACAAACTAGCTTATTTCTACTGGCTGTAAGAACTGGGTGCTGTTTCCTTCTTCTAAGTATATACCTGCTTAATCCAACATCTTTCCTGAATGCCTTAGGAGCTCTACGTGTAGGAGTTGTGAACCTCTGTGAGCTCATACCTCTCCCTTCTAGAATAGAAGTGCCTCTTCATTGGGGTTGCACAATATGATGATTTATGAAGTGGTAATTTCCAATCTCCAACTCCAGGTATTCTGTTCGTACTGCTTGATGAAATGCATAGTATAGTGCCTGCTGCTAAAAGATATTTACAAATGTTGTGTTCCCTGATCCTGTACTTCACTTTGCCTCTCAGTTCTGCCTAGTTTAAGGAGCACATGTTTTTATCCCCTTGAATTTTTCAGCAGTGCCAATAATGCTGTAACTCTAGGATGTTGGCATCTTCCATCCAGCTCAAAACCAAAGTTCATTCTGACACACAAAAATGATTTGTAAATATAAATATCGCCTTATATCCAGTTGCTCAACACTTGGATCTCTCCACCCCTGCTTCACAAACACAATTTGAGGCAACACTTACTGGAACACATGCTAATCAGTTCTCAGAGTTTTGTGTAATAGTTTTTAGGAAACTTACTTTTTCTTTTTGACTTTTTTTTTTTTTATTGAGTTTATTGGTACATTTAGGGATACAGTACAGTTACATTCATTGTTGGGATCATGTACCTTTACATGGCAAGTCTTGATTCTCATTTTTTTCCCCTTACCTCTGCCCTCCCTTCACCCCCTCCTCCCCT